GACAGGAAGGAAGCAACGCGCCAGTCACGAGGCCAAATGCACCGGCAACGTAGAAAAGAACCGAGCGTGCACGCACTGTCAAAAAAGGTCGACACCATGGAACAACGAGTCCCCATGAGGCCGCTTGCACGCAACGTCCGCAATCGTCTCGTCCCGACAATGTGTACTGGGAATGTGCATGCGAGTGGCCATTTCACCGGGACGACATAAAGGAAGAAAGGAAACTACTAGGCATACTGCCGGGGCACAATGCTGATGAATCGAACATGCGGTATATTCGGCAAGGTATGGGAGAATATCACCGCCGCGCAAGCACACGAGGCCCAATGCCGAGGTAGCGACTTAGCCCCACATACATGCCTCTGCTGTAATCGAGTATTTAACACAGTGGGGACAAGACGAAAACATGAACAGGCGACTCGCAGACAGCAAGCGGAGTGAACACCATTGCCCATCATGTCAACAGGTGCTGACATAAACAGGCGCCGTAAGACGAAACCACACCTTCAAACGTAGGAATCACTCCCCGGGCGTCCTCTGGCGCCACTACGGGGCAGCGTCCTCTGGCGCACGGCGACCTCTGGCGCAATTCTCACCTTCATTTCACTGGGGTCACCTTTTCAATGCTATGTTTTGCCCACACCTGCAATCCACACCTTTTACACAGGCACAAATCACACGCACCTACACACTTTTTCGGCCTGCGCGTCCTCTGGCGCTGAAGCAGGCGGGTGTCCTCTGGCGCAAGCGTCCTCCACGAACACGCACACGCGCATGCACACCCCCCCTCCCTTGTACGCCCAGGAAAATCAACAGACCCGACAGCCCAAACTACCGACCTCCAACGCCATGCCCCCGAAGGCACTTGACCTCCTTCGCAGAGACATCGATCTTTTGAATCAGTGTCTCCGCGTAGCACTGGTGGGGTTCAATGTGCTAGACCCCATCTGGGACAGACTGAGCGCATAGGAACGCTTGAAGGAGTTCTCAGCCGAAGCGATCCCGGCAATTCAGGAGTTTCTGAAAGAGGCACTGCAGCCAGAATGGCCGCAGCCCCTTTTGCTAGGACGAGCGGCGACTCATGTACGCGCGCAGGTCACTCAGCTTTGACTGGTGGGTTAGGAGATGCTGCGGGTGGAGTGGCCCAGCATCTGCTAGGGGAGCAATCGGGCGCCCTGCGTTTAGCGGCACACTTCAACGCAAGTGCAGTGATCGGCATCTTTCGTCAAGTCCAAGGCAAAAGCGATTATTTATTGCACCTCCGTCATGGGCTCTCCGGAATGACTTTCAGCTACCTACTGTGCATGGCAGGAGACATGCGCAAGGGCAAGGAACACACGGCCAGAATCTTCCTGGACAGACGCATCTGAGGCAAAGGTGAAGGGAAAGGCAAGGGAAAGGGACAAGGGCGTGGGGACAAGGGAAAGAGAAAAAACAAGGGCAAGGGAGGCAAAGCATGAAGGGGAGGAAGGGGACAGGAGGCAAATGGCAGAGGCACCGACAACGGAGAGTCCTGAATCTGCTTCATGCCGATGATTATGTGGATGAACACAGCTTCGAGGCTGCAGTCCAGCTTGCTTGCAAAAAGTCGTTGGAAACCATGCGAGCTCATGCCGATTCCATGAAGAATGCGAGGCAGCAGCTCGCTGCGCAACTGCCTTCTGGTTTGACCTTGCGCGCAGCTGTCGCAGATGGCAACTGCTTGTTTCATGCACTGCGCATGGAATATCACATATCTCACATGATCTCTCCTTCTTAGATCACATTGAACTGACACATAGATGTGTGCAGCTCATTCCTTCGCATCCTCTGCTGTGCGCTCGGTTTAGTACCAGTGAAGATCTGCATTCATATGTTGAAGGAATGCTCAAGCCGGGCAATTACGCTGATGAACTGTGCATTCGAGCATTCACGGTGCTCACTGGCCTAACAGTAAAGAGTTCATGTTCTCAATCACCTTCCCATCAGCTTTGATGCCGGACAAACGGAGATCTCTCTAGGATTTTACACCGATTTATCACATTTTGATGCGGTTTTATCTATTCGATTCTTGCAGGACAGTCTCGACTGCGCGGTTCGTGTGTCTTTGCCACCAAAATCCTTAAGGCTTCCCTATATCCAGCCCTTTCCGTGACACCTAGCAATGATTCTGTGAAGGCTCCAGCACCGGATCAGAAGACTCTTACTTTGCTTTGTGCAAATGTTACCACCTGGAAACCTCACAGAGACTCGTTGCTTCAGACCAATCCCGACATCCTTGTCTTGCAGGAGACCAGTTAACTTTGAAAGGACAAAGGGATGAATCTAAACTTCTTCAAGGTCCGGGTTACCAGTGTTTCTGGAGGCTTAGTTGCACGCAGAAGCATTCAAAAGTGCGGGGCTTTGTGCGCACAGCTTCTGGTGTTGACAAGCAAGGAGGCGTTGGAATTGTCTGTTCCAAAACAGCACCCTCAGTTGCTACTTCACATGAAAAGGATGCGCAGTTCTTGCACAACTCAGGCAGATGGGTACGTTGCGCCGTAGCACTTGGCTCCAGGGGCACCTGGGCCAAACGCTTCTTGCACATTGTATCTTTGTATACACACTCAGGACGAGGTTCTGGTATACTTAAATCAAACAAGGAGAGATTGCTACAACGCGGGTTCCAGGACGCGGCCCAAATGAGGTCACAACCCACACTACTATGCATGGACTCCAATTCGAATATACAGACCAGCCCTGTTCTTAAATCGGTTTTAAATTCAGGGCTTTGGGTAGACCTCGGCAGTTTCTTCAAAGACGGTAATCTTGAACTGACGTTTTCATCTTCCAAAAGCTGAATAAAGTAGATTGAGAAAAGGGCATCAGCCGTCCCGATTTGATACTCGCGAACCGTGCTGCACCATCTCTGTGCAGCAGCTTCCAAGTAGTTCGTGACTTGGAAACCAAGGGACATCTAGGTTTTAAGCTCGAAATACAAACTGACTTTACTTCGCAGGCATTTTCCACACTTCGATTTCCGAGACCGTTTCAGCGCCGGCTTGTGCAGAGGCACAAAAGCATCAGTTGGCCGAGAACTTCGTCCAAGAGGCTCTTCCCGAGTTTACCAAAGCCCTCAAGTGTTTCGACTCGGATGCAGCATGGGCCATTTTTGCCAATGCTGCAGATATATATTTTCAGTGCAGATGTCAATCTGCTCTCGAGCATTCCTCAGGTGAACATGGCGGTCGCCGACCAGCTGTTGTTGTGCAGCAGATACCCACTTGTCCCAGTGCAGACAAATCCCGACCTGAGTGTACTGTCACTGTTGCACTTGTCACTGTTGCACTTACAACATGTTTTAAGCACCTGCGCAGTGCAAGAGAGCTGCGTGTAAAAATGCTCCGGTTGCGTGGCCAAGTCCCTGTCGGTCAAGATGATGCTGACGTCAATAATCTCTGGCAAAAGCTTCTCACGTTTGATGTCGTTTTACAAGTATGCCGTGTCCCATGTCACATAAATGACTTGGAGACGGTGGATAGCATCATCGCTGCGCTTACACAGCACGCTGAAGAGTTGCAGTCCTTACAAGCTGCGCGTCGCAGTAATGAATGGAAGCACAAGATGAGGGAAAGTTTTAGGTCAGGTGGCAAAGTTGTTTACGCTTGCTCAGAAACACGTGGCAACCCTCCTTGAACGCACTGCGAAACCGTAAAGGTGAAGTCATCGTTGTCACACAGGATCTTGCTGAACTTGCCAAATATGAGTGGTCATTGCCTCTTAATCAGCTTCAGCAAGCATCCTGGGATTCCTTCAAAGTGACTTTTAGAGTACCTAAAGAAGTATCCTTGTCAGCTCCCATCTATCTGTGCTGAAGATCTCAAGCGGCAAATTCGCCGCCTTAAACCTAGTAGAGCAATCGCCATAGATGGCTGGAGGGTTTAGGAAATGATGGATCTTCCTCTAAATAGTCTTGAAATGGCCGCAGAGCTTCTCCGTGACATCGCAGCAGGCTCGCCATGGCCTCTCAGTAATTGTGCTGCAATTGTATCATGTATTCCCAGGCTCAAGTTTGACCACGAAGTCAACGATGAGCGGCCCTGCATTGTAGCGCCAGTGCTTTTAGACACCCGGCCAATTTTTAATCTTTCCCCTTGGACCATTGTCTATGGTGGGTTAAGATATAAGCAGCTCCAACCCTGGAGGAATAGATGGTTGCCAGACAGCATGGATGGCGCACGCCCCAAGCACGAAACGTCTGATGTTTCTTACGAACTAGCGCTGCAGCTGGAAGCAGCTACGACAGATCAAGTGGTCGGTATTTCTCTAGACCGACGAAAATTCTTCGATTTGTTGCCTCATTACGTGTGTCACAACCTCTTGGAGGCGTGGGGCATGCCTGCGCAAGTCCTCTCTGCAGAGAGGCGTTTTTACCAGCAGCTTAGCAGCCGCTTCAAGCTCAAAAATTCCATATCATGTCCTTCCGTGCGTGCAAATGGCTTTGTGCAAAGCTGTTCACACAGCTTGTCCGCGGCTCAAGCCATCCTGTATCCCCATCACCGTTTTTTGCACTCCACTTATGTCCGGCTCCAGCAGTGCCGCGTGCAGCTGGCGCTCGCACCGATGCTGCTAGACCGTTTGTATGTCGTGATGCTGTTTGCTAGACCGTTTGTATGTCGTGATGCTGTTTGTGGCATGACTTTTACGACGGCTAGCCAGATGGGACGCCATGCGAGGGAGCAGTGTCTTGGCAGGCCTGGCTCAGGATAAGTGTTGCGTGCAGGCCGCTACATTCGCAAGCGTCTCAAGCATTGATTCCATGCCGATTTCATTTTCTGCTTAGTCGGCTCATGACACTTACATCTCGTGCCGTGTGAGAAATGAGTGCTGAGTGTGGGAAGGCATCGCCTTCACGTGATGAGGGCAAGCCCGCCCTGCACAGACAGCCTGGCATGCTCCAGCAGCATGGTGCGGCTGAGCACATTTATGGATGACAGGCATTGGGATCGAAGGCTAGCTTCTCAGCACTTCGGAGCCCAGCCATGGCCGACGCGCAGTTCTTTATGCAGCAGCGCCAGCTACAGCTACAGCTACGGGCAGCCCAGTCCACAAACGTCTTCGCGGAGATGGTGCTGGTGATCAAGGTGCTAATCAAGCGCAGCCTCCGCAGTCGAGCCACGGACGTGCTGACCAAGCTCGCAAGCCTCTGGGTGCTCTTTCAAAAGCTGAACTCATTGCGGCGTTCGTCAGCCAGCAGGAGCAGTTGGACTTGCTTCAGCTTCAGTGTGCTGCCGTTTTTCGCTTTGCTGCTGACGGCGTCTTTGCCTTGCAGCTCCTCACGGCAGTGTCTCAGTGGAAGGAGTCTCACCGTCCTGGACGTCCTCACCCGCTTGGAGCTTGTTCGACAGCGGTTGAGCTCGCGATGCTCCTGGGCATTTCCACAGCGACGACTTCTCCATCGTGCAATGCGGATGCGGCGGCAGCCTTTAAGGCATTGGTGTGACGCAACAGCGGTTGCTCGTGAGTTCAGTCATTGCAGCGCTCGGCTTACTGCAAAGAAAGAGCATATCATCCTGGACTGCAGACCTACGCTACATGGCCGCATCTTTCCATATTACAATGTCTTATGTCAGTTCTTGGAGTCGTTCGACGCTGAACGCTTGGGTCGGAAGCCTGCTGGCTCCCTTCTTCGAAAGTCGAGGCAGCAACAGTAAGATGCTGGTATTTTCTGTGGATCTCACTTGTTGCAGTTTTGGAAGCGTGACTTCAGCGACAATCTGTTCATCATGTCTTCCTGTTTTTCCGTGCAGTGCACTACGATGGCCGCTCCATTCCTTTTCCCTCCAGTGGATGATGGTCTTAACGTTTTCTCACGACCTTTTGTACAGTGTTTTCATGGCGCATTATGCTCAGTGGTGGGCGAAATGCTTAACGACGACGGGCCCGGGACACAGCTGGCTGCCAGTGCCGGGCCTGCTACTTGGTGAACGCTGTGGCTGCAGGGTTGTATGTTCTCTTCGGTGCTCCAGTTCATGTCTGGGTTAGCGCGTGGTTTCTTTCCAACAGAAGTCAGAACCGCTTGTGCCACATCAAGTATGGAAATACGGTTGAGATGACTTTGAAGAGGATTCTCATTGCCAGAGGCCCAGAGGCGTGCCTGAAGATAAGGTGGACTCTCGAGTCCGGCAGGCAGTCGATGCTTCTTTGACAGCGCGTGCTATGAAGGAGATCTTTGACCGAAAGGCTCCCGACAATGAGGCCTTTAAGCAGCTGAACGCCCTCGCCACAAGTAAGAACTTCAGGTTTGTGCACACGGACGAGCTCTCTGCTTTCAGAGGAAGGCGTCTCGTCTTCTCAGGACGCGACTCGCTCTCGAGGCCTCCGCTTGCGCGCAAAATGGCCGACCCTTGGGCAAATGGAGAAGACCTGTGGAGCAACAAAGGATCAGCACCGCCCGCTCCGCCCGCGTGCCGATCATTGAAACCTTTGAGGTTGTGGAGACTTTCGCTGATGGTCAAGACAATGATCTGAGGAGGAGTGAACCGGGTGACCTTAAGCCCGGGGCCACAAGAGTTGCCTTCGGTACTTGCTGTATTTAGGGCCACTCCGCAGAGTGAGCCATGCCTTGCGCTGTGCCCTGCTGAGGTCCCGGGTTTCCCTGGGAGTGTGAACGACTGCTGGGGCGGAGCTCTGTCACTCAACGCTTACGTCAGCTTCCTGTGTTCATGCACCAGCTTGGAAATCAGAAGGTTCAGCTGAAACGTGAAAAAGTCTTGCAGGTGAACACTGTTGAGACAGTTACGCTGGTGGTTCACCGCCACACGGGACGCTTGGCGCAGGAGGCGCGGCCTGAAATCCTGGCGTCGCTTGTTAAGTTCCTGCGCAGCTTTGTCAATCCGATTTATCTTTCGGATGTCTGGTGTGGTAAAAAGGCCCTGCAGGCGGCTCGGGAGCATGGCGCAAGATTGTCCGTACCTTTCAAAGTCGAGAAAATCGTTGTGTGGCCAGGTCCTTGCACTCTCAGGTTCCAAAGGTGTCAGTGTGTTTGTCCGCGCGAACAACGACGACGTCACGCAAGGCGCTGAGGCCCTGTATGACGTGATCCCTTTTGACGCCCGTAAGGCTCTTGAAAGTGTTGCGAGTATGGCTGCTCGGTTGCCAGCCTCGCCGGTGGTAACCTTCACGGACACCCAAGCGTCTCTTCTGATTCTGAAGGAACACTACGTAGCTTGCGTCAAGGCACCGACAGTTCTCTCTCCTCTCTACCAAGGTCCACCCTTTCCCTACTGGCGGGGTACGTGTACTGAAGGGCTTCAGCACTGTTGCAGACTGCCACCAGAGTGGCTGGACTGCTTTCGTTGAGTCCACCTGGACGTACAAAGAGCGTAGAGACTCTCACAAGCGAGCCTGCAGAGTTTCCTTTAGCGAGCCCCCTGATGCACCACAGGTCTGGACCTCCCAAGCTGTCATCCTCATCGAGCTTGTTCTGCCAAAGACCTCGCTACGCTCGCCAGCAGGGGTGGCAACAGACCCGTCTTGGCAGTGGACGGGCTCGGGTAGTCCGTCCGTATGCGCAGTGGACGACTCCACCTTTAAAGCTTGGCTTGAGGCAAAGTTCGAAGAGTTTGAGGTTCAGTCTGAGGCCCGCCTCCACAGCAGCCTTAGCCAGTTGGACGAAGCAGTGGCCGTGTGCATTATCGGGGTGGCCCAGCGCTCACAGCTCGCCACTCAGGTTACCCAGATCCAAAGTGATCACACCGCTCGGCTGTCATCAACCAGCAGAGTATGCAGCAGCTCCAGCAGTCTTCGGACCGTCTGGCCTTGCTCCAGGAAAGGCAGGACCGCGCTGAGGAAAGTGTTAAGAACAGGTTGCATACGCTTGAAGTTGCCTAGAAAGCAGGCTTTGAAAACTTGCAGCGCATGATCAGTGAAGACAAGCGTCACAAGACCGCCTGAACCCTAGGCGAGCGGAAGCAGCTCTCCACTGCTGTGTCCGTTCACCCCAACTGTTTTGACCCAGTAATCTTGTTGCCAAGCCTTCTCACACGAGTTCGTGCCACCGCAACTTCACTTGCTCAGGTTTTGCCAAGTGTTACATCAGGCCAACCTGTTTTGCACCTTCGCGAAGCCCTCTCTTGTGTTGGGGGAGGTAACCCCTTCCATGAGGATACGTCTGAATATCTTCTGCATGAGTTTCGATTGCTCGCGCAACGACACGCGCCGCCCGGACTACAGTTGCTTTCCTGCATCGCTGATGGAAACTGCCAGTTTCGCGCTATGGCAGCGGCTTTTAACTTTGCACAGAGTCAACACTGTTTGACACACGAGTCTCTCCGCGTGCAATGTGTGGAACACCTACGGCTTTTTACGGATTCTGCCCCCGCTTCCCTTGAGGAGCTTGCCTGTTTTGGCACCTGGGGTGATGGATTATCCCTTGCGGCCGGTGCCGTACTTACCGAAGCTGAGATTTCCGTCTTCACGCCTTGGGATCAAAGTCACCGCACTGTTGCCTCTCACGATCGCCCATTGCACAAGCTGTACTTGACTTTCAATATGGTTCGCACTACGACTGTTATGTTCTTCGGAGGCGTCAAGCTTCTGAGTCTGCTGGTGCTGCCCCTGAGGTCTCTCAGGTCCAAGCCCCGGTGTGCAATGATCCGGCCTCGGATCCATCCCAAGACCTTGCGGATGTTGTGCATCGAGAGGGCCAAAGACGCCGTTGACGCTTGGCGGTCTTTGCCGGGCGATGAGGGTTTTGCGGAGTGGTCTCGCTCCTGTATTGCTCAAGGTCACGTATACAACCTCATTTGTGGCGCGCGAAGAGTATGGCTAGTCTGCCCACTTCACTCCTCGCTGCTCAGGAAATTTCTTGTTACGGCGACGCCCTGCCAAACTTGCAATTGCGTTTGTCGCGCAAGGCGTGGAGTGTCCAGGTTGGACCCTCCCTTCCGCCTAAGTCCCTCTCAAGCCGTGAGTCAGGTTCTGGTGCTACGGGGGGTCTCCTGGTTGCAGCCAGACAAGGCTCTGTCACTGCGCATGCACAGTCATTTCCAGTTGCTCTTACGAGCCACCGCGCCCAAGTTGCTCGATGGGTTCTTAAGGGCACTATGGTTTATGTATGTGATTAATGTTTACGGTTTTCCGGGAGGGAGCCAGCAAGACTTTTTGAACAATCATCACTTGCTCTATCATGCGATGGAGTTTGCCGCGGGTTTAGGCGCTGTACCGGTTCTGGTTTTAGGTGCTTTTAATTTGAATGTGCTGCAGACCGCAACCGTACGTCATGCGACGCAGCACAATTGGCTGGTTGCCAACCTCTTTGGCCGTGATAGGTCGCTGCCCACAGTCAAATGCGAGATAAGTTCCCCTCGTACGGTTGATTGGCTCCTTGTCAACCCAGTCGCAGCTCCAGCCCTCTGTGGTATCATCACGTGGAGGGACCAGTTGCCCACCCATGCTGCTTTCAGTGCGGCTTTTCGCTTTGAAACTTTCAAAAAAACTGTGTATTCACTTCCGGCCTTCGTCGTCCAATTCTGCCTGGAGCTGATACAGCACATGCAACGGGCGTTTGGGAGTCTGAGGTTATGTCAATTGCACAGTGGCATATGCTGGCTGCGGCTGAGTTAAGAGAACGGGTTGTGGCAGCAAACTTGCCGTGGTCTCCAGCAATGGAGGGCAGAGGCTCTCGTTCTTTGCTGCAGCGCAAGGTCTCCGGCCCGACACTTCGGCTGTTTTTTTTTTTATGATTGGCAAAAAGCAGATGGTTGCCTGCCGCGTGAAGCCCGCATGCTTGCTTTCCAGTCTCGCCGTTTGGAGAAGCTTAAGGTTCTACTACGCGTCTCAGTACCACCTCTGTGTGAGATTCGCTCTCAGTTGCGTGCTCTCTGGCGTGGCGATGCAGGTTCGGCATTGTGCGCGAAGCTTTTCCCGAGTCTGAGCAGCTTCCGTCCAACCTGCTTCTGTCTGAAGACTTTCTGCAGGAATGGCTTACTGCTTATCGTTCCCTTTTCCTTGCAAAGTGTGATGAGATTGAGCGGCATCGCATCTCGTCTTGGAAGCAAAGTCCGACCAAAGCAGACGACACGCTGTCTGCTAAAGCTTTTAGTAGGATGTCAGCTCCGCCACGTCCCTGGAGTGGTGTCGTTGAGTTACCTACAGGCCTGGTGGATTCACATCATGCTTTCTTCGAACAGCTCTCTGTTTTCTGGAAGGCCATTTGGTGCCGGCACGGCATTCGAAACTGGCAGGATGCTCGCAGCATCATTTCAAAATTTTCTTGCCCTCAGTTGCGCTTACCTGCAATGTCAGGAGAAGATTTACATGCCGCTCTGAAGCGTTCGGCACCATCTTTGGTGTCGGGTATAGATGGTTGGTCTCATCAAGAGTTGTCCCTCCTTCCTCATGCTGCATTTCGCTCGTTGGCGGAAGTGTGGAATAATCTCGAACACTCTGCAGATTGGCAAGATGATCTCTACACTTGGAGTGTCGCCATTATTGAGCCAGGCAACTCAGGCTCTTCGCTGGCAGATTTTCGTTTGATCAACATATTGTCTAGGAATTTTCGCATTGCCCTGGCAGCTCGTGCCCGCCATTTGCTTCATCAGTTGGAGCCGCACTTGGGCTGAAAATAAACCTGCCGTACCCTCTACCAAGCAGAACGCCTGAGCAGTGGTTTGCTGAAAAAGAAGGACGTCCTCCCCTTACTGCATGTGCTGGTTGGTGGGCCTTTCTCCCCGCATTGCTAGTGGGGACGCGTTTCATTCTTCCAAACAAACTTCGCTCCACGCGAGATCCGAACACCAATCAACGAGTGCAGGCTCCGGGACACTTCTTCTTCAAGCTGGAATTCGGAGATCTGTCGTTCGCAGTGTCGAGAGCCCTTCAGGCAGGCCTCAGCGCACATATAAATCAGAGTAACAGGGAACGCCGCGAGGCCGGCGAAGGGGATCAACTCACAGCTTTTGTTCATCGGACGGCGGAGGAACAGAATCGTAGAAATCGTCGAACAAATGAGGCAAGGGTAGGCGCTAGAGGCCCCTAGAGAAGCGTTTCACAAGTACTGTAGGTCGACGCATGTTGAGAAGTTTGTGATTTAAGTCTTATAGCTGTTTGTGCAACCGCAGGTAGAGAGGTGGGCAAGTAGCCGCTCGTAGTTAGTTTCTGAGCCAGAATGTTTATGTGTTGCAACATTCAGTCGACGCCTTGAGCCATGTTTTATGCTTGTAAGATGCAGGTGGTTTTTTGGGAGGTGGGCCGCCTGGTTGATATATGGTGTTTTCGCGTGCATACAGTTGCCAGGAACAGGCGGCTGAACCAAACACCTTAGTATCTATCTATCTTGAACAACATGTTTGATGCTTGACCAGTAATCAGCTGTTGTCACATGTTGCTGCTCGCTGGCTCGCCGGCTGTGCATAAGACTGTGTTTCAAATCCATTTGTCATGTTTACTTGCTAAGGATCACCGGCAATTTCCCCGGTTACTTGTCGCCATCAGCAGGCCTGGGATTTGGCACTGCTGTAGATCCGAGTGGGATACCCTCACCCGAGTGAGGGCCAAGGGGATCCCAGCTTTAGTCAATCGTGCCAGGGAGATCGATGCCGGCAACCGGGAATTCTGGACTTTGAAAGAGTGTGTCGGCCAGTTGATCTGGGATGCCCTATCTCCTGGGCTCGCTCGCGTCCTTCCTGCTGATGCTCTCGAACATGTGAAGACTGAGTGGGACGTTGGTTTTTTCAAAGATGGAATTTCCGGAGTGTACCCGATCGGGGGTAAGTGGGGGGGGCACCCACATTTTTGATGTGCGGTTGAAGTGTGCGCAGCAAGCTCTTAGGATCAATCACCTCATCAGGTCCACTGTTGCCCCCAAGATGAAGGAAGCTGGTGGTGATCCTCATGGACCCCAACTTTGGGTGCCACGCAGCCAAGGGGAGATGCGGAGGAAGCGGGCCAGATCGGAGGCTGCTGGGTTGTCCTCCACCAAGGGCGGAGGCAAGGGCGGTGGCCGGGGTCGCGGCTCGGGGAACGGCAGGGGCCAGGGCGGTGGTGGGGAGCGGGGCCGTAGCAATGACCGTAGGCGCGCTCGGTGATGCATCTGCTCTCATCGTCTGATTGTTTTCCCAGAGTCCTTGCATCTTGATCCGGTGTTGTTCTCTGGCTGTTTTTTTGAAGGTGCGCAATACATGTTCATGGGTCCAGTTCGTTCCTGCTCGGGTCTAGTGCGCAGGTCTCTTTTTTTGAACTCTTTCGCTCCGCGTCGGTGAATAGCCGTCTCGCGTCGCAGCTTTCACTGTTCAGTGCTCGTGCTTGTTGAAAGGGTGAGTGATCATGCATGCGCCAGGGTTCAGTTCAAGTTTTCTGATGGCTTGAGGGTTTCTCCTCTCCCGCTTCCCTCTCCTCCCTTCTTCCCTCGTCCTCCTTTGTCTCTTCCTCTCTCCCTCGCTGCCCTTCCTCTTCTCTATGCTGGTCCCTATGTTTTCCTAAGGTGTGCCTGGCAGGTTTGCTGTTTGTGCGCGTCAGATTTTTTCATCCCTGTTTTGTTTGAGGAGCCAGGCCGGGGGTCTCTTGAGGCCGTTCCCCAAGAAAGACGACGACTGCTGTAGATCTAGGAGATGTTTCGCTACCGGCTCACGTCCTTTATGATTCTCAATATGCTTTCCAGCCTGTTACCGGGTCGACAATGCCGGAGGCAAATCAGAAATTGGTCTTGCGTGTTCGAG